AACTGTAATAGTATCTCAGTTATACTAAAAGGAACATATGTTAGATTGTTTCTTTGGTGATCTGATTAGATATTCATCCCCTCCCGCCTCTCATTCTCCATAATGATCTGTAGCAAAATGCAATCAGATGGCTTTCTAATCCCTGTTTTGTGAATGTCCCTCGCGGGTTACGAGGTCAAGGTTCAGCTTCGAGGGGTTGAACACTAATTGTTTCCCTAGAATGATGTCTACAGCTCTTTCAAACTGCTTTCATTGAGTCACGTTTTGAATTCGGTGCTTTGACTAACTTTACAAAGACTAAATTACAGACATCGTGAATGAAGCGGCAGATACTTAAAATGTGAAAAAAGGCCTCCAGACAGGGATGTCACATCACAGCTTTAACAGAAGGGGAACTCCACACCCTTGGGCCAAAGTCTTTCTAGAGCCAAATAAACGACAGACAGCACATCTGGCTGTCAATGTGCGTTCCTTTCAGCTGAATGTGGGTTTGCTTTTACTGGGTGGTGGAACAAATGTAGAAGCATTTGCAATTTTAACACTGGTTGCGGTGCTGTTGCATGCTGCTGTATAACCTGCATGCGCAAGAATCCTTGAAGGAAGACCGATTTTTTTTTTTTTTACCTTGAGTCCATTGGTATGACGTGCTGGAAAGGCGGCCAGATTTAATCGAGTTTTTAACCCCGTGCCCTGTGCATTAAGTGTAGTTGAGCTAGAGAATGGATGTGTTTTTTAAATGTTTTCACACCCTTTATTAAACCTTGAAGTTGTGGGATGCACCAAGCCGTGCCAGCAATGACACTAGGCGCTAGAAAGTGAGAAATGAGATAAAGGCACAATCAAAAAGGTGACACTGGGGCTCGGTGGGACTGTTAGTCATCTGCTTGGGTGAGGATGGTGGGGGGCGATAGACAGAGGAGGCGTTCCGCCTTTTCCTTCTCCATTACTTTAATTGTTTCCAAACCATTTGGCCTTGAACGTGCGCTAGTCTATACTCCGCACACATGCTTCAACCACACTTAACATTCCTTGGTGCGCAAGCCCTTAATCTTTCCTCCACTTTCCCTGTCACTTGAACGTAAGGAGGGTGATATATGGAGTTGAGAGACACACTGAAATTTCGGGTAACTTTGAAGGCTTCATCCGCAGGCAGTTTGTCTGCAGGTCTGAGTGATTGCGTTTTGTCTTTTGTGTTCGCCATTTACTCGCAACTTATTGCTTCCAATTTAATATCGGAATATTGCATTTGGAATGGCACTTCATATATATAAAAAGTCTGGATATGTTTCTGCAGGCAGCCCAGACACGCAGAAAAAAGAATAGATATTGTGCCAATGAATTAAGAATTCATTCCCACGACTCATAATTCACGGCAATATTTTATTAACTCGTTCCCTATTTAAATGTATTTAAATTGTGGCCACATTTTACTAATTTGTTTCCTAATTTTAGGTCAGCTGTGACCACTTTGTACTAATTTGTTCCATGATCCTAACGTGGCCATGATTTAGCTAAATAAAACCTAAGAATTAGTGCAACGAGGGAATTAAGTTCTACAATGTGGCCACGACTTACCTAAAACAAGTAAGTTTTGAAAATTCATTTATAATTTGTGGCCTTGATATCTTATTATTTCCTCCCTCCACCTTATGTATTTATTTATTTATTTTCCAAATTGGCCCAGGAAAATGGTTAGGTTGAGCACTTTGTGCACTAAATCAATATTAGTTATTTAATTAGTTATTGAAATATTAGTTATTGACCAATATTTGAACTCATTAAAGTTCACAAAAACAAAATTTAATTCTGTCATCATTTCCTAACATTAAAAAGTGAAAGTTGGTTTAACCAAATTTATAATAAACTGGACATCCAATTGTGGGAAAATTGTGGAAGCAAATGTGGAAATACAGTGATTTTTGTAATGATGTAACATCTTACAGTGTGTCTCCTGTACTCATGTTTTTCCAAACCTGTATGACATTTTTCAAAATGTCAGTCTTCATTTGTGTTCCACAGAAGAAAGAAATTCATACAGGTTTGGAACTTTCAAGAGAGTAATGATACATTTATAGATTAGCGATAACGTCTTATAATGAAAATACTATACAGACATGTTTTCGTAGCCCATTGTTAGGTCAGGTCTACTAGACATCTTGAGTCTAAGTGAGCACCTCGATTTAGTCTAATACAGGTTGAGCGACCTCATGTCGTTTAAGGAATTCAAACTTGTGTACAGTAGTGTATTCAAACAGAGCTCTCCTTTGGAGTAAAAACATACTTGAGGCCTTTTCCTCCCTTTTCTTTTCTCACCCTGCATGACAGATGTGTCTCCCTTCCCCCACTACCTCCCCTCCAGCACCTCCATTTTCCCTCACTGGCCATTTATTTCATCCTACACGCATTGGTGGGGAGGAAATGTGCCTGCCACATGATGATATCTTGATTTTTCCCAAAAAGTTTCCCATTTCCTGTGAATTCTGACTCACAGACATTAACAAAAAGGCGCACAATCAACCACGTCTCCAAAAGTTATTCAATATGGCATAAGGCATTGTGGTCTCTGAGTAATTGTTCCTGATTTTTAACCAGCTGTAAATGTTTGGGGCAACTAGAAAAGGTCTTTTGTCATTTCTAGTCCAGATGTGTGCTTTCTTCCGGATATGCGAGTTCAGCTGTGCTCTCTCTGATTTAATGATGCATTGTGTGTTGCGGATGATGCATTTCACTCATTGTAAGTAGTTTTTAGGTAAAGAGCGTGGAACAAAAACTCTCAAGATATCCATACTTTGGTGTAGGAGCAGATGGCAGAATATTGGGCTGCTAGTTTTAATTTCCTCACAGGTTCTTCAGAATAAAGTCAAGAAACATTGCTACAAATTTGAGCTTGATTGATACGGGTTATTAAAGGCATAGTTACCCAAAAATGAAAATTGTCATATTTATTCACCCTCACGTTGTCTTTTATTAAACGCATTTTTGATTTGTGCGCTATGTATGTGCATTGATCAGTGTTTAATATGTGAATAAAAGCTTAAAGGTGACATATCATGAAAATCTGACTTTTCAAGGTTTTAAGTGCTATAATCAGGTCCCCGGTGCATCTACCAACCAAGGAAACATGAAAAAGATTAACCCAGTAACTTTAGCTCATTTGCATTTAAAGAAACAGGTATGAAAAACAGCGTGTTTCTGCTTCCACTTAAAATAGGAATTTTCTAAATGATATAATAAATGATCTGTGGGGTATTTTGAGCTGAAACTTCACAGACACATTCTGGGGACACCAGAGACTTATATTACATATTGTGTAAAGGGGCATAATATGTCTCCTTTAAATAAAATCTGTTCATCATTTAAAGTGATCTTCAGTGCCTCTTCAGAATCACTTGATTCATATTTTTTTTCTTTTACAAGCTCTTTGAAACGCCAGCGTTTTGGATGAGGGACAGAAATCTGTCAGGTTTTGTTAAAAATACCTTCATTTGTTTCTCGAAAATGAATGAAACTTATAGGTTTTGAATGACATAACTGATGACTGATTTTAATTTTTAGGTGAACTAACCCTTTAAATGCCAAATAAAACAATTCAGAGATGGCAAATTATATGTATATGTTTTGTTACACAATATTTACTCAAATTTTACCCAGATATTTAAAATCAGAAAACATCTCAAATGACGCAAAGAAGAACCTAACACACCAAGCTTTATCAGCTGTTTCTGTCAAATTGGACTAATATGAGCTTCTTAATCATCTTGGCTGGCATTTTGGCTTGTCGTTAATAGAAACCATATCAGACAAACAAACAGAGACCTTCTGACCAACTTCCAGACATTGTTAACATATTCATAATCCTGAGTGCAAGAAACTGACATTCGTGTTTCAATGATTGAGATGAGAAAAATACATTTTGCATTTGCAAAAAACAAGTACATTCCAGGATGCAGGATTTTGTAAAATGACAGAAGTGTTTCTTTTGGCCGAATGTGACAGGCAGCTGGCTTGACTTGTAGATTTACCACCCCATTGTTCTGTCCCTCCATAACAAAACACACTGTTTCCTGTTCTGCTCTACCCATGCTTAGTATTCAGGGTGGAATATTGTTTGTAACGCTAGAGGGAAGAGGAAGGGTCACAGATAATGTGCTGTGGAAGGTTAGAGGTGCTTATCTGAGTCTGTAAGAAAAAGCGCAAACGCAGTGTGAGAACGTGTGTGTGTAGCCGGGATTGTGTGAGACGGTTAAGTGTGTCTGAGGTCATGAGGTGTGAGTGCTTCTTTTGAAATGCATCACACTACACTCCCCACCGTGGGAGAGGGATGAGTGTCCTGTGACCCAATGCGTCATTTGGAAATATAACCAAATGGTATGTGCTTCCTATGTAGTCGCCAGGGACATGAAGAACCTAACGAGTGGACAGTCTTGTTTCTGATTTGTTTTTGATGGTTGGTCCAAAGCTAGTTGAAAGTTGCTATAGGTATTGATGCGTATGAGGCTAAATCTCATGAAACAATTACATATCCAAAAACATTCTTTCTATCTCTGATTTTTTTAACAGTAGTGCTTTCAGATATTGAGTCAAGATTTGTGTTTTGACTTTGAGGCCACTCATTTTATTTGAACAATAGAAAACAATTTTGTGAACTTTTCATTCATTCATTCATTCATTCACTCAAACAAAACTAAAAAATAAAAAAAATGTAAAATGAAGAGGGCAGCACAAGCGACTATGGTGAATCATTTCATTCAACCTTGTCAGCCATCTGGAATGTGAAATTGGCTAGAACAACTAGAATCAACAAACAAGTTTAACAAATGCAAGATTTCAAAAGAATATCCATTCTATCCAACATGTTGCTTCTGGTTTGCTGAAGTAAACTCCTGAAGTATCTGAACAAAATCAAC